CTGGTTGAGCATTGACCCGTGCACCAAGAGGTTGGCAGTTTGATTCCTGGTCAGGGCACACGCCCAGATTGTGGGCCTGATCCCCGGTGAGGGGCATGCAGGAGGCAGCCAATCGATGTTCTCTCTCATCAGTGTTTCTACCTCTCTCTCCCTCTTCCTTCCTCTCTCTAGAAAAATCAATAAAGAGCCCTGGCCGGTTTGGCTCAGCGGTTAGAGCGTCCACCTGCGGTCCGGAGAGACCTGGGTTCGGTTCCCGCTAAGGGCATGTGCCTCGGTTGCAGTTTGTCCCCGGCCGTGGTTGGTCGTGCGGGTGGCAGCCACTCGATGTGTCCCTTTCACGTCGATGTTTCCCTCTCTCTCTCTTCCTCTCTCTCCCTCCCACTCTGTCTGTACAAAAAATGGAAAAATGTCCTCGGATGAGGATTAAAAAAAAAAAAAATCAATAAAGAAAAAAAATTTTGAAAAAAAGGAATACTTATTTAACCCTGGCCAGTGTGGCTCAGCGGTTAGAGCATCAGCCTTCGGACCAATGGGTCACAGGTTTGATTCTGGTCAAGGGCACATACATCGGCTGTGGTTCATCCCTGACCCTGGTTGGGGTCGTGCAGGAGGCAACCAGTTAATGTGTTCCTCTCGCGTCAGTGTTTTTCTCTCTCTTGCTTTCTCCCTCTCTCCCTCCCTCCCACTCTATCTGAAGATAAATGGAAAAATATCCTCGGGTGAAGATTAAAAAAAGAAAAGAAAAAGAATACTCATTTAGCCAACACTTATGGGAACCCCTGTGCTTGGCTCAATGTGGGGTGTAAAGATAAAACAGATGATAGGAACATAAAGATGTCTGGACACATCATTTGCCTTATTCACCAGGGTATCTTCAGTGCCTGCCACAGTGCTGGGAACATGGTAGGAATTCAATAAACATATGTAACATGAATGGATGGATGGATGGATGAGGAGAAGACCAGGCCACTTACAGAGAAGTGAGTCTTGCTGAGGCAGAGAACCCGAACCTGAGACAAAAGATTTGGGCATCTGGGAAGGGAACTGTCTTCCTTATTTTTTAATTTTTAGTTAATCCTCACCAGAGGACATTTTTCTATTGATTTATAGATAGAGTGGAAGTGAGAGAGAGAAAGAAACATCAGTGTGAGAGAGACATATCCATTAGTTGCCTCCCTCACGACCCCAGCTGGGGCCAGGTATCAAACCTGTGGCCTTTTGATCCGAGGGCCGATGCTCTAACCACGGAGCCAAACCAGCCAGGGCTGTCGTTTGTTTTAAATTGAAAGAGGTTACTACAGTTTTCCGGGCAAAGCTTAGTTGGCTTCCGCAGCTAGCCCTTCTCTGAGTGGGACGTCGGTGTCTTTGCGGCTGAAGCCGCAGGCTGCGAGGACTTCGCAGCGCAGTGTTGAGCGAGCAAAAGCCTGGAGGAGAGGCGGGCAGGGCCTCCCGGAGCCAGGAGGCCACACGGATGCCAGGAGAGGCAAATCCCTGCAGGGAAACGTCCACATTGTTGCCCAACCACATCTGGAATGTGCCCCAGGTAGGAGCCTTTGGACTCGCATGAGGCCTTTATCTGAGGACAGTTCGTGACATTTGGCCTGCTCAGAATCGAAAGCTGACAGAGGCCCTCAGAGTGGAGGAGGATGTGTCCCGGCCACAGTCGCGTGGTGTGCCTCTCCGGGCACCCAGATCGTCGGCTGTGAGATGTCCCCTGCCTCCCAGAGCTTCGTTCCTTTGGAGAGACACGATGCTCGTGCCCAGTTGCAGGGGCACCGTCAGTTCATGGAGCTTATGCCTCGAGGTGATTGCCTGAACATGCCCCTTCAGAGACCTAATTTTGTATTGGCCATTTTGCAATCTTTTCTTAAAGAGGGTCCCCCAAATTATACAAGCTTCAGACCCCACTAAATTGAACCCACCCCTGCCAATGCCCCTTGACTTTGGAAAACCTTGAGCAGACAGTGGGTTCCTGGGGGTCAGGGCTCACCCTTCTTCCCGAACCACCGGCAGCTTGGAGGCAGATCCAACCCAGAGCAGAAGTGTCCCCTCAGCAGCCCAGAGGAGGTGTTGCTGGAGCTGGTGGGCTGGGCCAGGTGGAAGGAGACTGTCAGCTATAGAAAGGTCAAAGGGCATCTTTGAGGGGGCCAGCAAGTGTGACTGCACCAGATCAAACACCGCTTATAACTCTGTCCACTTGGCTCACTGGGGGGTCATCTGGTGGTCACCCATGGTTGGCCACTGGCTTGAAACGGATGTTGTGACATAAAGTAGCACGACATTGTACACTTTAAAAGGGTGGATTTAAATATATTTTTTTACATTGAATTTTAGAGAGAGAAAGGAAAGGAGAGGAAGAGAGAGAGGAAGGGAGAGAGAGAAAGGGAGAGAGAGAGGAAGGGAGAGAGAGAAACATTGATGTGAGAGGGAAACATCTATCGGTTGCCTCCTGCACACACCCCTACTGGGGATGGAACCCGCAACATGGGTATGTGCAATGACCAGGAATCGAACTGGTGACCTTTCAGTACATGGGACGATGCTCAACCAACTGAGCCACAGGGCTAAAAGGGTGGATTTAATGGTGTGAGAATTATACCTCAACTTTTTAAAAAAGGATGCTAAGAGCTTGGTTGCTGTGGTGCTTTCTTTGTGCGTGTGATCCAGATATGGTAGGTTCATAAAGACACTGGTTGGTGCTGGAGTTTCTGGACATCAGTCACACACAGGGCTGTTTAGGGACCACCATGTCCTGGCCAGGTCTTCATGGAGCTAGGAGATCAAATGGTGGCACTTCCAACAAGCTTCCTGTCCAGCTAGGGTCCCTGGAGGCAATGGGTGGCCTCAACCATTTCTGGGAGACTAGGCCCCAATTTGCTGCCTCTATCTTGACACTTTTCTCAGGCCCTGAGCTAACACATCTTTGAGCCAGGGAAAGAGTTAGTAATTGGCCGGGAGGAGAGGCCTGGAATACACTCACAGGTGGCCTGCTGGCCCTCTGGAGCAGTGTGGGCCACTTCTGAGCCACACCCCCAGCACTGGGTAAAGGCAGGGCTGTTCCTGGCAGAGAAATTTGTCCTCGAAGGGCCCAGCAGAGCCAGCTGCGAGACCCAGGGACTGGCCCCCTCATTGCCCAGGCCCCCTCATCATAGGTGCCCAGGCACCCAGGCAAACATCCTTCTCTGCAGGACTCACCCAACCCCACCACGGCCTGCAGTTCCACCAGTTTCTCCACTGGTTCTGGTGCTTTGTCAGGCTGAAATACAGGGTGCACTGAGAAGAAATGGCTCCTCAGACCCACTGGTGACCATGTGGCTGGAGAGCTCCTGGGCCCTGCAAGCGCACCAGCCAGAAGATGTTAGCACCCCTCACATCTTTTTCTATGACATGCTCAGGCACACACATGCATAGATGCACACACATACACATGCATGTACACATGCTGGGTTGGTTTCTTCACTTCCCTGGTCTGTGCCAAGGAGATATTTAAGTGACCCTTGACAGACTAGCTCTTGCAAAAGGGGCAGCACAGATGCTTTGAGTCCCTGGCCAAAGGTATAGGAGATAGGGGGTGGGCGCTCTTGTTAGGGCTTACTGCACCTGGGTCTGAGCTGCCTTCCCGGGGCCCCTTTAGCAGGCAGGTGGAGATGACCAGGGGGTGGTGTTTGTGGCCTCTGCATTGTATGGGGTAGGGAACTCTGCATGGAGAGCTCCCTGTTCTATGGGACCCATGACCATTTGCAAAGTTGCTAAAAAGTCCTTGATGTTCCCAAATCTTGTTTGGCTTCCATTTCTTGCAGGCAGATAGGCTGGCTCAGGGAGACATGTTCTCTAGGCTCCTACTTAATTACTCAACATGGCTGCTGAGTCCCCACACCTGCCCTGAAAATGCTTCACCCACAGCTGCAGGGGTGACTTTCCATCAGATGCCCACAGCCTGTCTGGCTGCCTGCTGCTTTGTGGTCAGCCTGACTGCCAGCCCACATCCTGATTGGGAACCTCCGTGTGCCTACGGCCCATGGAGGCAGGTACTATTTCTGATACAAGAACACTGGAGATTGAGTTTTTCTTTTTCCCAGATTGGAGTGTCATGCTTTCCTGTGCCAGGGGCAAGAGTGCTGATGCCACAAGGGAGAGGCAGTGCCCAATAGCGTGCCTCGTCCAGGCAAAGGGCAAGCACAGTGCCCAGTTTCTCAGAGGTTCCCAGACAACTTTCTGTGATGAGTGGGGGTGGAGGGAAGATAGGAGTGGGGTCTGGGGGAGATAAAGCCATCTCTGGACACCCACTCCTACTGCGGAGTAACCAGTGTGGCCACACGAAGTCAGTTAGGACAAAGCTGCCTGGGGAGGCTGCTCAGCTGTCAGACCCTCCAAAGCTGGTGTTCTCCGTGAAAGTGGAAAGCAAGCCAACATCCTCGTTCCACCTGTCTCAATGCAGCCTCACAAAATTCCCAGCACTGGTGGATCCTGAAGAGATACTGTGTACCATCCTAGCCCTGCAAGTAAGGATGGATCTGCCTTGCCCACTGGTATCCCCGTCGGAAAATGGAAACCAGCCCCCTTCATTCCTCAGTATGAGGAAGGCAGTGACCCCGAGCTGGCTGTTCATGGAGATGCTCTGGCCATCTAGGAACCAAGGTGCATGGGGCACGGTGTGGCGGCGCAGTTCAGTGCTGGTTGGACACTATGGCATGGGTGACCCCCACCAAACCCGTACCCCTGGCTTCCCTTCTCTCAGTGCAGTCTTACCCACGCAGACACCACTTTGATCATTCTTTTTTATTAAAATACTGTTATACCCAGTGGAATGCAGCAGCAATCCTGGTACAGGGTGGCATAACCAAACAGCCATGTTTACATTTTAAATATTTACGATAACTTAAACGTACAGACACACATCATGGTCTTTGGCAGAAAATGTTCACAGCACAAAAAATACTTTAAAAGAAATACCAAATATTAATCCAAAATATATTAAGTTGTTTTTTTTTTTCCTTTCACAATACCTTTTTACCATTTTTTCTTTTTCTTTTTTCTTTGTAAACAATGCACATGAACCAAATGTAGTTTTCAGCTTTACGAGGGGTCGGGGGGGCTTAAAAAAATATGCAGTTGTCCAGCAAGTGCAAATGTTCTAAAAGGAACCACGGGAATAAAATAACACATACAGAACTTAAAAACAGGAAAGGAAAAAACAAAGATTCAAGGAGAACTAAAAACAGTCGAGACCAACTGCTCAAACTGACCCGTCGCTCCTGGGGCTGAGCTGGGGGACTCGTTAAGACCAGAAGTCAGTCAGCGCTGCTGGCGGGCTGCCATGTGGATGCTCCGCTCCAGTCCAAGCACTGGCCCTGCTCCAGGGCACTGGGCCCTGGCAGCTTGAGAAGCCAGCCTCACAGTGTCATTTTGCGAGGGGCTCCCTTCAAAGCGCTGAGTCCCACCTCGAAGCTCACGGACTAGTTTGCACCAGCACCGCCTCTCAATCCTTCCAGGTGGGAACAAGGCAGCTTCTCGTTTTCTTCGAGAACCGGTGCAGGGAAGCCCACCATAGCAGAGGTCCGTGTGGCCGCTCACTTCATCTGGCTCAGGGTTCATAACCCAATTGAAACTGACAGGTGTCCCAGGGACAGGAGCTGTGGAGCTATTTCAAGAGGCCGGTGATGGTGGGTGGTGGGGGTGTCCCATGGGCATTTAAACCAGGTCAAGATGGGAGGAGGACGGTCAGTATCCCGTGGCTCAATCAGTATCAAAATCCACGGGCCAAGAACTTGAGCACGGGAGCTAACTGGGAAGCTGGTCAGACATTACAGGAGCCACGGCAGCAGGGACGAGAGCTCAGGAAGGGACGAGTCCGAAGCAAAACGCTTCAGTCTGTCCCACAAGAAAGGGACTTATATACAAACTGCCCAGCAGATCCCAGTCCACTTAGACAGCCCCTGCCCACTCCAAGTGAGGGGATGATGCCGTGGCTTCTGTAGGACTAACACCTTCAACATCCCCCGAAGAAACAAGTCTTAGTGATCCCAAGGAGGCAGTGAGTAGCTGAGGAGCAGATGAGGTTGGTTGGACCACACTTAGCCAGAGGGGGACACCATGGCCATCAGCTTGATTACCAAACCAGCCCACCAGTTGTCCACGGGCAGCCATCCCTGGAAGTCAGCCCCTTAAACCAGCAGAGCCCCTCCCTTCCTCCGCGACTGAGTGTCAGCTCTCTTCCAGGCCTTCAGTCACTATCCCAGCAGCAAGGCAGGGAGCAGGTCAAGGCCGAGTCCTCATTCTGCTCGGGCCCGGGAGGACGGTGGGGCCAAGAGGCAGGGTCTTCTGGGGCACAGGGGCTCACACAGCATCCCTCTACCCTGCACATCCTTCCGAAGCTCCTGGAACCAGATGGCCAATGGGAATGAGTGCTCGGTTGCGGGGTGTAGGGAAACAGCAGTTGGAGGGGCTGCTGGAATGGCCGCGAGTGGCAGAGGAGAGCAGGGAACGGTTCCGAGTCCCCATGGCACCAGCTCCTTCAGATCAGTATCTCCACCATGTCTGACAAGTCCTGGGCCCTCGATGCAGCGACAGAGTCTGCAGAGATAAGAACACGGACACACACATCAGCAAGTGTTTCCAGACCTCCCTTCTCAGCCCTGGTACATTTTAGAGATAGGACCCTTCTTCACCAACTCTGCCCACCTCAGCTGCCCAGGTACCCAGGTTCCCACAGCTTGGCCAACCAAGCACAGTGCTCTGCTCCCTCTCAGCTCTCCACCCAGACCACCAACCTCCAGCCTGGAAGACGCATTTGTTTATAACTCTGAACTCCTTGGAGGGCTCGGGGGGAGGGGGGAGAGCCCCAAGGGAGGCAGGCTGCAGCATTCTTTTCATGCCTGTGGTTTTCTGAGACGTTAAAGCACAAGCAAATATGCAGAGGCCAATGTGAAAGGGCACAAGAAATTTAAATGGCATCTTCTCAACTTTCTCCTTCCGGGACTCTTTCTAAATGAAGTCTTCGAACTTGAGCATGCCATCAGGATAACCTGCCAAGCTCCATTGTCCTGGATATTTAGATCAGCAATTAAATATGTAAGGAAGACTAGGAAAGAGGAGATAAAGTGTCTCCCATGGGGTCACTTTCTTTCTGAACGCTGCATCTGTCTAATCTGGGTTTCCCATTCCTCTATTCATGCATCCAACTAGTGCTCAAGGTCACAGAGGCAGGCCACATGCCCTGCTGGCCCGTCACTGTGCAGGGCCCCCTGGAGTGGGGGCAGTGAGCAGAAGAAGGGGTCTGGTACTGCAGTTCGTACCCCAATGTGCCCTCAGCCTTGCTAGACACAGCAGCAGGGGAAGTGCAGACCTACCCAGTGAGGCTGTCCTCTGGCCACTGCTGCACCCCAGAAGGTTGTCGGGCTCCAGTCCCAGGCAGGCAGCGGTGCCGTCTGGGAGGCCGTCGGTCTGGGTGCTTCCATCTCTGCTCCCGTGTTTGGCGTGGGCAGGAAGGGGAGCTGTGGCCACTAGCTCCTCCACAGGAGCCTTGTCTGCTGGAAAGGCAGAAGGGCAATAGTTACCGCCTTGTCCATATGATTGGTCCCCATGAAGAACACCCCAAGTTAACTGCACCTACTGGGGGCACAAGTTGCTCTTGATTGGCAAGAACTTTAATTAAGACTAAATGCTCCTGGCCCTGGCCAGTAGCTCAGTTAGTTAGAGCATTGTCTGGATACCCCAAGGTTGCAGGATCAATCTCTGGTCAGGCACATATAAGAAGTAACCAATGAATGCATAAGTAAATGGAATAACAAATTGATGTTTCTCTTTGTAACAATCAATAAAGAAGAAGAAAAAAAAAAGACTAAATGCTCCTGTTTCTAAATGGGAATAACTATCTGGCTGGATTGGTTTCCACATGTTGAGTAGCAGAACCCTTCTTTCTAGATTAAATCTTAAATCAGCAGGGACTTCTAGGGCATCTGTTTAGGAGGAGTGGGGGGGCTCAACTTGGAGGTACATCTGCACAGGAAGCGTCATTTTTACTTAGATAAATATTTTTACTTAGTGGCTGGTGCCAAGGGGGATGGACTTTATGGGGATGGGGGGCTCCAGGATCCCGCTTCACAAAGATAGCTGTGGGCTGCGGGATCACTGGAGTCAGAGTATGAGCCAGAGTTCAGTCACATGAGCTGGCTGGCTCCTCAGGCAGGGAGTCAAGAGCCCTGGCTCCTCTAAGCCTCAGTTCTGGGAGAGCAACCTACTCATCTCCCTCCGCCACCCACCAGCTCTGCTCACCTGCAGCCAACCAGGCAGGGGCATCCACTTGCCGCTCACTAGAGGAGAGTCCCTGCCAGCCCTGGGTCCCTGCTGCAGCAGCCGTGAAGATAGATGGCACAGACTTGGCGGGTCGCAGGGTGGCCTTGCTAGGGTCTTTCCTGGAGCGCTGCTGAAGGACCTTGATCACTGCATCCTTCTCCAGAATCTGGGCATGGAGCACCTTTAACCTGAGGAGAGAGGTCATGCCCACATCGTTAAACCCACAGATTCAACAGCCTCCAGCCTCCCACCTGGTCCTAGTCGGAGGGAAAGCCCATCCTACAGCCAAGCTAGACCCAGAGGCCCTTGCAGCAGGGCCAGGAGGGGCCTTCAGAAATGTCATCATCACTCTGGATTTTGATACTCTAAAAACCACCCTTCTGAGACCAGCAGAGGCAGGTCATCAGGGGTGGGTTCAGGACTACTGGATGATAGCAATGGCACAACCCTCGCCCTGGGGTGCAACCCCAGAGCTGCTGACCATCAGATGAGCTCAATCAACGTGCTTGTGCATTTGCGTCAGATACAGGTCAAATGAAATCTCGAGGGGCCTCTCACATTATTTCTGGAGAGAAAATCCTAGCTACCTCCAAGTCAAGGACCCAGTTGGAAAATCTTAGTCTCTGATTTACATGGTGGAAGGGGAGCAGGTAAAGGCCCGAGCCTTGGATGGCATCCAGCCCGTCCACAGCCAGGTCTCCTGGGCAGATCAAGGACTTCGTTGCTATCTCTGGGAAAGAACACGTGTATAACGCCTGGTGTACCAAACACACAGGGTCAGCTCAGAAGTATCAGGGACTGCTGAGCCACGTGGGAGAGGGGCTTATTTATCAGAGATTAAGGACATGGCAGAGACTGGACACTGCTACCTTCCACCACACCTCTGGTGCCCTGGCCTGGCCTGCAATGCCGAACCTGCTTTCCATCTCCTGATGCCTGTGGCCGCCTGCGAGTAGGCCCTCATTGAAGCTGCTGCTGGGTGAGGGCTGGGGGGAGTGTCGGATGAGAGTGGTGTCGCGCTGCGCAGCGGCTGTGGCGGCTGCATCCATGGCAAACTGCCTCATGGCACGTTCCTCCAAATACTTCTGCTCCCACTTGGTCATGTCGGCCTCCAGCGCCAGGACCTGCTCCTCCTTCTCCCGCAGTTGCTCTGATAGCCGCAGGGCACTCAGTTCTGGGGACCCACCGCTGCCACTACCAGTGGGGCTGCCGGCCTGTCTCTGCAATGCAAGGAGCACTGTAGTCAAGGACAGAGGTTGGGGTGTGCCGGCTACTGGGGCTCACCTCCACAGGAGGCCTCTGGCTTATGCCTGTGCTTGTCCAGCCATTTACAGTACTCTCTTCTCCCTTCCCGCTCCCACCCCGAGACAAAGGAGGTGGCACAGGTCCCCACATCCCCAGCCTGAATCCCGTGGCCAAGGGTACAGAAGAGATCAGGTCTGCCTCTGCATAGATGACCATGTAAGTTATCCTCTAAACTGGAAAAGTGCTCTTAACAATGACCCTGGGATAATAGGTGTAAATTATGGCAGCACTGGGCACACCAGGAGGTTTGCTCTGCCTTTGTGGGAAGCGTAGGGCTGTGAGTGGAGACATAACTCTACCTGGTTTGTAAATTCCAGGGTTATTTACATAGTCCAAAGTGAGGATAAAGATTTAGGATCGGGCAAGCATCTCTCCTGATCTTGGGGAGACACATAGAGCTGGCTAGTCTTCTACATCAAAGACCCTGAGCTACTTTCTCTAGAGAGCAAGGATGCCAACCCCCCTGCTGCTCCTGAGGACAGAAGCCCAAGTCTTGAGTCTTCGAGATCAGCCCATGGCCAAGTGAGCCTCTGCTGAGACTGGTGATTTGGAGGATCCTTGCAGCAAGGATGGAACAGAGATCACCCTTGCTTTCAAAGCGGGGCCTCAGCTTGGTCTGTGCAGGGGCTCCCAGAGACTTTGAAACTAGCTTCCTCAGGCTGTCCTAGCTCTGCCACCTCCACAGGGCCCTGCAGCTTACCTGCTGTGCACGCAGGGCCTTGAGTTCCTGTTCCAGGCGCGTGCGCAGACGTAGCTCCAGCTGCTCACGCTTCTCACATGCAGCCTGCAGCTGCCCGAGGGCCTGCTGCAGCCGCTCCACCTTCTCCACGTAGGCCTGCTTCTTGCGCAGCTCTTCCTCAGCTCGTGCAGCCCGGCCCTGTGCATTGCCCAGAGCCTGCTCCAGCAACTCCGCCCGCCGCCGCTGGTCCTCGATGGCACCACGCAGCAGTGCTATCTCCCGTTCCAGCTTCTCCTGCTCCTGCTGCTGCTCATAGCCTGCAGGGAGGGAGAGGGGCTCGGTCAATGACAGCGACCACCCCGCTGGCCCTATGAGCTCCCGCAGAGAGCCAGGCTCCTTGCCGACTGCTGGATGAGCACGACTGCATCTTACCCACCCAACAACCCTAGGAGTTGGGAATCATTATCAACCCCACTAGAGGTGAGGAAGCTGGGGCTCAGGTTAAGTTAGGAGTAAATGGCAGTACAGGACCAGGGCCCCTGCAGTAATGACTGGGCTACACTGCTTCTCTGCTGGGACGTGGCTGTGCCAAGAGCAAGCCCCAAACACTGACCACTTGCATCAGGTGTCACGGTTTTTAAATATGTTCACAATTTCCCCTGAACCTCATGATGACACTAGAAACTGACCAGACGGGAACTGTGATGCCCATTTACAGGCGAGAAAACAGAGGCTCAGGTGGACTGTGACACAGACGTTGTTCAAGTGGGAGAGTGAAAGAATAGGGACGAGAACCACCATTTGCTACACTACAAGTCGGGCACCTGCACATCCTATTCTGCTGAAGTTTCTAGTAACAGCACCTTGAGGTAGGATTTGTGACTCCCAACTTACAGGGAGGAAACAGGAAGTGAATGGTACTGCCAGGATGGGAACACAAGTCAGCCTGGCTCCAAAGGACCAGGCTGCTTCTGGCTATGGTATGATGCCCTGCACCCAGGGGCCTCCCAAAGTGGACTCCAGGGCTCTTTCTACAGACCTAGCACCTCCCCCGGCTCCATTACCTTCCATGGTCTGGGGAGATCACTGAGATATGGGCAACCAGGCTCGTAAAGAAATGCAAACTTTGGAGCACAATAAATGATGATGGTCTAAAGATTTGTGCCTGAGACTCCAACTCTCCTGACATCTTGTTAACTGCCCAGGAGAACTCTGTTCAGAGACCCTCTCCATATTGCTAGGCCAAGCCAGACCTGAGCCAGACCACTGAATCCTTCAGATGATGCTCTAGGCTTAAATCCACCTCCCACACACCTCCCCTTGGGAGTCCCAAGCTTGCCTCCCCCTGGCGAATGTGTCCACTGCCCACCTGGCTGAAGGGCAGAAGGGGGATGGGCTCTGGGCCTGCCTGATGCACTCAGAGGCACGGGCTCTGGAGCAGCACTATTACAGCACAGTGGACTTTCTGCTGTGATGGAACTGTTCAATCAGTGCAGTAGCCACTTGACATGTGCAGCTACTGACCAACTGAAATGTAGCTAGTTTGAGGGAGAAACAAAAATTTTCATTTTATTTAATTTTAATCTTGGGCCCACGTGTGGCTAAGTATCTAGTGCAAAGGACAGTACAGGTTCTGGAAGAGGAAAATGGAGGCTTGGGATCGGAGCAGGCAGAAGCCCTGACTTGGAGCCCTGGAGGAGGAGAGGGAGGATACAGGTGACCCGGGTCAGCTCTGGCTCACTCTGGATTTTTGAAGGCTAAGCCCCAAGCTGCCCTCCTTTCTTCATGTGGAGGGAAAAGATGGGGAAGCTCAATATTATTGAAAATGGAGCTGTTCATACTGGGCTGGCTTAACATTCAGTGAGTGGGGTGCAGGGTGCCGGCCAGGACAGTGGACTGAGAGTTTGGACCTAGAGACAATGACCCCTCTCGTGTGGGTTCAACAGCTTACAGAGTTTGCAGGAGGCCTGTATCTCATCCCAGCCTTGTCATAACTCCTGTCTTAGAGCTCCAGGTGACGAAACCCACGGGGGACAGAGCTAGGAGACGCAGGCCTCAGGCCTCAAGGTCAGATCCCCAGAGCTGGGGGTCTGTATGGCCTGGCTGCTTGGCAAAGCAGATGGCACTGGTGATCACCCTTCCCCGGGGCGGGGGGTGAGAGGGTGAGACTGAGGGAAAGCAGAGACGGTGTCCTGAGAATTCTGTTTCCCATGGCTATCAAGGAGCAAGGGGAGCTGTTTGGTTTTCCTCAGCCCTGGGGAGGGGTGGGAGATCTCAGCCCTCTGCTTTCAGTAGCTTCCTGCTACCAGCTAACCTCTAGGCCCCAGGGGTTGGGAGTCCTCAGGCTTTGGGCCTTCCCCAATCACCATGGGCCTGGCAGTCTGGGGGAGCACCTGGGGTGGGTCGAAGCCTGGAGGAGGCAGGAAGGCAGAATGAGTGGAGGGAGGAGGGGGATGTGCCCTTGGCCCGGAGAAGTCCAAGTCCCCGCACCTGCACTCTCTCCCTTTGTGCTCACTCTCTCTTCCCGAAGCAGCAGCGGGAGGGGAAGGGCCAGGCGGGCGAAGGGCGCCCGGCGCAGCAGTGCGGGAGCAGCAGTGAGGGAGCGGCGGGGGACGGGCCCTGAGCGGAACAGCCCAGCGGCTCAGGAATGCCAGGCATCCAGGTCACCCGTGGCTGCGAGATTACTGGCTCCAGCGAGGAGCCAAGAACAGCCTGGCGCTCGCTCCCCGGGGAGCGGAAACGCCTCCAGGCCGGCTCCCCCTCGCCCCTCCTCTGTCGGCTCCCAGAAACTCGCTTGTGACTTCCTTTGTTTGGCAGATCCAGGGCCCAGGAGTAGGCGCTTTCCTACAGGACTGTTCTGCCTCCTCCCAGCAACCGGTCCCCTCCAGACTCCCAAGGGCTGTCCCCTCCCCTTTCCCTCTCACCGCATCACCTCCCTCCCAGAGACACACATCATTGGCACCTCACCCCACCCAGCCAGCAGAGCCCGGCCCACCTCCTGCCCCACCTTCCTGATGTGTTCCCTCAGGTAGGGAGGTGCTGCCAGGCGGAGCTCACTCCTCAAGCTGCTCCCCCATTTCTCATCACCCCCACCACCCGGTCACCCACAGCAGGCTTCCTGCCGGGCTCCTTGACTCCTGCCTCAAGGCCACCCTCTCCCGGACACCAGACACCCCTCATTCCTCTTCTCTGCACACACCCCAAATATCACTATAGTACAAAGTAGACTCATACAGGAGGAGCTCAATCATTAACTGCCTCTGTCTTTTCTGATGGCTAGAGCTTACTGCTGCCTGCCCCACGCACCTCCCCCCGAACCTTCCAGCTGTTTCTTCACCTGTGGTCTGCTCTCCATCCCTGCCATTCCCACAGAACCTACCACGAGGGACCCCCCAGTCAGGTACCCTGTTTCCCCTGAATCTGTTCCTTCCTCAGGCTCGGCGCCTTTCTTCACCTCCCTGCCACAGGATCTTCTTGGGCCTGTTCTCCCCTCTGCTCAACACCTGCCAGGTGCTTAGCACAGTGCTGCTGCTGAACAAATGAATAACTGAATGGAATAGCCAACAATAAATCCACCCGCTCTTCAAGGAGGCTTCGCCCACCCCCTTTAGAGAAGCCTCCCCAACCCTGTAGACTGCACCTGTCGATGAAGTCCCAGGAAACCATTTTTTTGCTGTCTTTAGGTGCCTCCATGCTGTCCAGCTTCTCACCTGCCCACTGGGCACCTCCAACCTTTCTGTCTCATAGAACTGCCTGGGAAACTCAGACTCTTCCTCTCTTACATCTCACCATCTCCAAGGTGCCTCTGCCTCCTCCATTGCCCACTACACCTCTGCTTCTGAAGGACACTGCACTGCTGGTCAGCACCACAGCTCAGCAAATCACTGCTCGCCAGCTGTCCCTTCTTGTACCCTTCTGACCTTCCCAATAAATAGAGAACCGGACTGTATTGTTCTTCAGAAGCCCCTCTATCCCCAAGTCCAGCCCAGCGCTCAGCGCATAGCAGGCATTCAGTAAACCTGTGCTCAAAGCACTGTTTGGCAAAGGAAAGACCCAATCCTCCCTGTCCAGAGGGGCTGCTGTGGTTCCACCACCCACACATCTGGCCAGGCTTCTGGGTGGGACCCCCTACTCACTCTGAGCAAGCAGCTTGGCCACCATATCCTGACTGCCAGCCTGGGCCTCCTGCGTCTTGCTCGCCAGGCGGCGGTTTGCAGATTCCAATCTCTCTGAAATTAAAGAAAGATGCTTTAAGGAAAGATGTTGGAGTAGCAAGTGAAGCTGCCTGTCCAGGTGTCCCCTGGGGTCCTATCTATGGGGCTGCACCCTCTAAGCTAGGGATGGGCTCATAGGGGAGCCCCTGGATCAGCTCAGGGCCTAACAAAGGAGCAGCAGGGGCCGCATGGATGAGAGCTCATGAGGGGCTCCAAGGTCCAGAACTCAGAACAATCATCTCCCTGGCAGGGTGGCCACCAAGGGGTCTCAACCTAGCACTCTTTGAGTCATTTTATACTTCTTTTGGCTGAGGACAGAGAGTGTGAATTTTTCCCTAGCACTGCGGAATCCAGTCCTCTGCAGACACTCCTGCCCCTCCACCTAGGTGACCTGCTCTCACCTCTAAGATCCCGGTTGAAGTCCTGCAGCCTCCTCATTTCACTGTCCATTTTGTTCCGCATGGTCTTTTCCAGGGCCTCCCGCTTGGAAGAGGCTCTCGTCAGGCTCTCGTGGGCCTCGGAGAGCCGTTGGATTTCACTTTCCAGCTGCAAGAGTCAGACAGCAGAGCTGAAGGAAGGGGAGAGCTCCCAGGGGGGGTGTGGCATCAAAGCCCCCTCCACAGGCCCAGGCTGATCTGCTCCCCATCAGAGAAGGTGAGAGAGGAGAGGATAAAAATTGAGACCAAATATCCAGGTGGTGATAGTGGGAGGGTCAGAGCTTACAGACCTCAGGGAGTGAACCAGATTGCTGGGACCAGCACGCAAGGGTCCTGCCAACTGTCCTGAGGTCTAGATGCTTAGTAAACTCAGGGCTAGGTACCTGGAAACAGATGCCTCCAGGGTGATTAAACATAGCTTTTTGATCTGATTAAACATAGCTTTTTGATCTGAGCCCAGGTGGTCAGCAGTAGGCACAAAAAGACTCTAGCCATGTTCTGAGGTTTGACCCATTTTAGACACACAGGACAAACTTGGGAGGCTTGAGGCCACTGCTAAAGCTGAACACACAGCAGTCGACCTTTACTAAAGAATGGGGCACTGGACCCCAGCCTGAGCCGCCTCTGTCCGGAGTATTTGCTCCTCTGGCCATTGCCATCCATTGCAGAGGGCCAGCCTGGCCCAGCTGCCCCTCCCATTTGGCTGCTGGCAGGTTCCGCACGTGCTCCTAGCTGGCCTGTGATTCCAATAAGTCGCTCGTTTTTTTTTTTTCCAAGAGGAGGGGCTTTCTCTTTGGCCAGGACTGGCCTAGAACAGACTTGCTGTTGTGTGGGGCACACAAAGGGCTCTCTGTGGGAGGTGTCCGCGGGAGGGGAAGGGTGTGAGTGTGCAGGGAGCTGGTGAATGAGTTCTTTCTAATCACCACTGGCCAGCAACTGCTCATGCTCTAGACCTGCTCTGCCAGCCTCGCGGCTGCTCCCCAGCTGTCTGGAGTCAGCCAGGGAGGGTGCATAAGGGATTAGGGGTGGGGATGGGGGGCAGAGGGACGGGTGAAAAGCCCAGGCAGACAAGCTTTCAGACTTCGCTGCCTCCTGTTCCATTGCCCACTCCTCAGTGAGCCTTCAGGTCCGTTCCTCCCCCTGCCCCTGAGGCCCCAGTAGGACCTACCTTCTCCATTCGGCCAGCCTTCTCTGCTAAGCATTCCAGCTCTCTTTGTAGCCTCTCGTTGTCCCTCTGTAGCCTGGCATTCTCCCTCAGCACAGTCTCCATCTGGGCCAGTTGGGCACTGCCCGAGGTGGCCGGGGACACCTGGGTGCTTGCTAGCCCCTCCACCCCAGGTGGACTGAGGGAGCCTAGTGGGCCATGGCCCAGAGCAGCAGGGTGTGGGGGTGGAAGGTGCTCCTGGGGTTGCTGCAGGTACTGGTACTGCTGCTGCTGAAGGAAAACAGGAGGCACCTGGGCCTGCAGGATCCTGGGGAACAGAAGAGACAGTGCTCAGAGACTGCACAGACCCCCACGGCTCCCACCCCGGAGCAGCCCTGGGTCGGCCCAGCCCTCCTGGGCATACTGGAGACACTAGTCAACTCAGCCTTCCCACAGTGAGAAAGGCCTTTTCCACATGGTCTCTCCCTAAGACCTTCAAGGGCCAGAAGGGACTGAGATCAGGATGCTCGCTTCATGCCCACTTCACTGTGGCCCAGGCCTTGGGGATCAGCCTGAGCAGCCGTGGGCTTCCGAAACAACCAGCACTTAAAGAAGGCATCTTTAAAAATGTGCACTTGATTCTTCTAATCAAAAGCAGGTTCTTTTTGGGTCTGGAGGCCACCTCAATCACGCCTGAGCACACGGCCTTCCAGGCCCCTGGGCCACTCTGTGGCTGAGCCCCCGCAGTGACCTCTGTCTGTTATAAGCCTCTAGTTCCAGGCATTACATGAGCACCTGCCAGTGCACACTCACGGTTTTCCCTCCTATTTCGGGTCCCTTGCAGAAACATTTTTAGAAGACTGTGGCTAAGGTTAGAGTGGCGAGACAGATGTCAGGATGAGAGGCTGAGCTCCAGGCTGACAAAGCAGGCATTTAAATCCCCAAGGTGCCACCATGGCTCTGCTAAATTATGACGGTAGGCATCTGTAGCCTTAAGGGAGTTTGCCAGGCACTAGCATCGTGGTGGCCCATCCCCTACCTCTCCTAGTGGTGACCGCAGCTTACTTACTCTCTGTTTAAAGAGTAAATGTGACCCAAACACTGCATTTTCTGAGGTGTAGGGGCTGCCTCTGGACTATTGCAACAGCCTGAGTTTAGGGACAATGTTCTACTGGCTTCTAGCGCTGGAATAACATAAGCCTTCAGGTCCTGTGCTGAGGGAGGGAGCAAAGAGCAAGAGGGTGGGGTAAGGGTGGTAGTAGTGGGGTGACAGACCCTTTCTGGGGCTTGTGACTCCAAAGGTAACACAGACTGTCTTAGTTTTACCAGGAACTGTCCAATCCCCAGAAACCCCATGAAAATTTAATTCCACTTCTGGGTCCATCACCTCAGTATTCATGCCCACCCTCCCCTTCATCCCTCCCCCTGCGTTTTTGGAAGACTGGCTAAAAGACTCTGGCTCCCCTGTTCTTCTTTGGACCCTATGCTAAAAGATCCTGGCCCCAGTTCCCAACAAGTCCTCATCTGATCAGCCCAAAGGAGGAGCTGAACAGATACATGTCTCTTACTGCCTAAGGGAGAGCTTCCAGCGAGAGCTGAGCAGAGGGTCCCTTGGAATGCCCAGACTCTCCTGCGCTGCTAAATGTGGCCTTCTCGGGGCTGCTTCAGGAACTTGCTCCCCCTGCACTGGGTCTGGCAGACACAACTGGCATTCTTTGGGGATGACTTAGCTCCCAGAAAGAATAGAGTCTCCTTTCCCTTCACACTTGCTCTCCCTTCCCCTCCCCCTCCCTCTTTTTTTGTTCTCCTGCAAACAGTCTACTTCCTTTCCACGATACTATCTTTTCCTGACAGGGTTCAATAAGACTGGTCCCAAAGAAGAAACCACGACTCAGCTTCCGAAACTCTCCGCAACCCAGCCCTGAGAAGGGAGATAAGGTAAGGGGGCCTGGGAGGTAGCAGCTGGAGGGAACCCACAAGGCGCTGGCTCCTCCAATGCCAACACCCTTGCATCAACACTTTTCTCGAGAGCAAGGAAAGGCTAAATGGTGGGAAAGTGGGTGACTAAACGAAGACTCAGCAGGCATGAAGAGAAGCAGACTTTGACTCTATGCCACCAGAGGAAGGGAGTCTGCAAATCCTCAGGCCCCTCTGGTGGGGTTTCCTGGACCCCCGTGGGAGATGATGCAGGGTGTGTGAAATGAAGACCGTGTGTCAGCTTCCTTTCTAGGAATACATATTTCTGCAAACTCTCTGGGCTCCTTGTCTCCATTCTTACCCATTAGAATCCATCCTCTACAGGGAGCCAGAGGGGCCTTTTTAAAAAGCCCAGTCACATCCTCCAAAGGCTTCTTCCCTTCACTTAATATTAAACTCCAAGACCCCAGCAGCCTCTCCTGAGCCTCCACAGAAAGGGGCTTGTCTGGACCCAGAATCCTCTCCCTCCTACAGGCTCCAGATACTGGGAACACATGGATGAACATGAAAGGAAACAAGCAGCTTCTGCCCTGGTGTAGAATGGGAAGAGGTCTCTAAGGAGGCCATCAATGATCCTAACCCTGTCTTCAGCAAGTTCTTTCTGAAACCTAACCTTTAACCCCTGCTGTAATTCATACCCTCTGGAAACTGGTTACTTGACTGCTACAACTATTCAGAGACTGGTGTCCATCTCCGAATTAAACCAAGGTGTGTCACTAAGTTCTCATGGGACCTTGGCTAAATCCCTCTCTCTGGGCATTAGCTCTTCACTCTCAGGAAGGGGATGTTTCTGGGGCTTGCCAGCTGACAAAGGAGCCATCTGGAGACTCTCCACCCTAGGGGAACTACACTGAAGGAAGTCAAGGCCTTGGAAGACCAAGGTGGGCAGTTACCTGACTTCAGCATGCTGGAGGTGTGGGCTACCCCGGGCACGGTACCGCGGGTCGGTGACAGCAGTGGTGGTCTCATGAGCTAGCGCAATGTGTGGGTACTGAGGTGGAGGTCCACGAGGCTCCGGGCCCTCGACAGAGGGGCCCCTGGGTGGAGGGCCCTGCTGGTTGCGGGCCAGCTGAGGGAAGCTGTGGGAGGAGCTCATGTGGCTGGGGGCCCGGGCACCGTTCCTCTCCAGGGACAGCTGCAGGAGCCGTTCACTCAGGGAGCGCACGTGCCCATGTCTCAGCTCTCGCAGGGCCTCATCTTGCCTCCGATGGCCTCCAGGGGCCCCTCGGGGATCCGGGTCACCAACATGTGGCCGGGGCCCCGCCTGCTGGGCCGCATAGTACTGCAAGTGGGCTTTTGCCTCCTCATAGGTGGGTAACTCCTCGCCCTTGCTGGGCTGTGGGCACAGCCGGTAGAGGGTATTCTCTGCCAGGTGGGTCTCACCGCCCTGGTGCTCCTGGCCCTGGGGCTCCTGCCTTGTGGCCTGCTGCAGCACCTGGCTGTCCTCAGGTGCCAAGATCTCCAGGGAGGCTTGGGGGCTCCCTGTGCCCCCAGCTCCAGCCCCACCCCGCAGGGCCTGCTGCTGGATGGCCAGCAGTGTGCGTGTCTCAGTCAGGTTGCCATAGCGCAGCTGCTCCTGGATAAGACGGTGCAGGACTGTTCCTGAGGAGTCTTCCGGCGTCCTCATGCTTCCTCGGCTTGCACACACCTTCCTGGACAATGGCCAGAGGCACGAGGCCCAAGAGCACCTGTGAAGAAAGAAAGAAGAGCAATGAGTGAGAGCACATGGGAAAGGGGGGAAAACTTTCCATTAGGGCCAGGTCCAAAGCATAATGGTAAAGATCGAGGCTTAGAATGCCACACAAGCCTGACGTCAACTGCCAGTGCTGCCCCTGCTGATTAAGGCAAGTTATCTAACCTCTGAGCCTCAGCTTCCCCAACAGAAAAATGGACAAAATAATGCTTGCTGTATGAAGTTGAAAATGAAAAGAGGAAATGGCTGTTGAGCTTCTGATCCATTATAATCTTAGGTAAAGGAATGCCATTATAACTATATTCATGGAAACTGACTATGCCTTAGAGAAAGACACCAGTACCTAGAAGGTAATCAACCAGAAACCATAGCCTCCTGCAGTCAGCCACCCATCAAAGAGCCTGATGAGAGACTCCAGGACAGGCCTAGTTCAAATCTAACCACTGAGCAGTCCAGTCCAGGGGTGAACAGGGCCCCAGTCTACTGGCAGGTGATAAAGAATGAGATCAGTCCAGTAGAAGCCCCAGGCAAACATCCCCTAGCACCCTCTAGAATGAAGCCTGCCTGAGCTCCAATCCTGGCAGTTAACTCACCACCCTTTACCCTGCAGAGCCCTCCCTGTCATGGGATGACCTTGGCAGTCACTCTGCAAGGTAAATGAGAAGAAGGAGAACAGGCATCTGGATTGGTGAATAAGGGATGAAAAAAGAGAGGCTACAATAGGACAATGGTTTTGTGAGATGAGGCGAAAAGGTGCCACCCATCAAGATTTGTGGGTCAGTCACATAGCCTGTGTGTTGAGAGTATCTGTGTGGGTACTCCAGGAAAAAGGATGGACAATGTGTCTAAGTTGATGATTACCACCCCCACCACACGCACACGCACACACAGACACACACACACAGAGACACACACACACACACAACTTGGAAAAGCCCTCTGTGGTCCTCTAGCCACATAGGAGATGAGCACTCAGCATCTTGACATCACTAACACTGGAGCCCAATGGAGGAGTAAGGGAACAAGGGGGAGGCTCTTGGCTGCAGGGAGCTGGAGCTGGAGGCTGAGGGCTGTGAGTTGTAGGGAGATTCTCTCTGAGGAAGGTGTTCCTTTCTCAGCTTGGGCTCCCAGTGGCTCACGCCTTCCAGGCGGCCTGCCTCACCAGGCTTCCTTTCCACAGCCTCCTCCAACACAAACCTCCAAACTGGGATTCAGGGAAAGCCAAACAAAACCCACACCTCCACAGGTCCTGTGTGTATGGGAGGAGGGGAATGGGAGGAATGTGGCCCTTCCTCTGCCACAAACTAGATCCAGTGGCTGCCGCAGTCTGGGCTTGGCTGGTTGTCAGCCATTCCCAATCCACTCCCTCCTCCTAACTGCCCACAGCTGAGGAGCTGGCGATAAGTCTAGAGGACATCTCTGTCCTCATCCTTCCTGGCACCCCATCATGGCACCCCCTCCCCCTACACACTAGAGGAGTGGAGATGCAAGACTCCAGAGTTATCAGAGGCAACACAAACAAGAACCAGTTCACCCTAGAGCAGTGATTTTCAACGAATGTGCTGCAAGAATTTTTAAAACAGGCAATACCTGACCTCTTTTCCCGATTGTCAAATAAAAAAACGACAACAGTCAACACAATTGCCCTTTGGTGTGAATGAATCACAATTATACCTTTTTTGGGGTCAAACTAGCAAAAAAATATATAAATTTTTTTTGGTGTGCCGCAGAATTTGAATAATTAGTTAACGTGTGCCATGAGATGAAAAAAGTTGAAAATCGCTGCCCTAGATTGTCACCCGCCAGGCAGTTCCTAGGTTCATCAGTGTCCTCTTGATTCAGAGGACCAGGGACTGCAGAGCTTTCCGGACAGATTCCAGACCTCCTTCCACCAACAGTGTGCCTGGGAGCAGGGAACACCTCCTCCGGGGCCTCTCATCCCCACTTCGTCCTTGTCGGTCCTCGTCCAGACCCTCAGATACACATCTTTCCCGCTGTACGGTTACTAAACTCGCCCCCAGACCCCCGAGGCGCACCTCGGCTGCGCCAGCGTGCCGGGTGCTCTGCAATGCCCCTTTCTAAGCAAGCACGCCTCTCCGGCGCTTGCCTGGGCTCACGCTCGCCTAAAAAACCGAGTTGCGGGTCTCTCCACCCGCACGCAGCCGGGGATCCCTCCCTACCCGGACTCCCGGCCGACCACGAGCGCTCGGGGGCTGTCGGCGCGCCCAGCGCGAGCAGGCGAAGGCAGCCCGGGGCCCGGAGAGGTCCTGTGTCGCGGGCCCGCCTCCTTCCCTCCCTCGCTGCCCTCTTTGTTTTCCGAATGCTCCAGCGCTGACGTCAGCGGGCTGGACGGCAGGCTGCATTCTTTCTAAGTGAGAGCCAATTCGTGGCTCCGAAGAGGATTTTCCAAGGAAGACAAAGAGGAATTCTTGGGCTAGTCGGGGACAAAGGCACCTGTAACCCCCACCTCTTCAGGTCAGCCCCAGGGCCCTGAGACTTAAATTCGAAAAGGCGATTCTTGTCCTGTTTCGCGCCCCTCTCCCCGACCCGCGACCAAAACACTCTCCCCACTCTCCCCAGAGGCTGGCCCCAGCCCAGGGGACCCGCGCGCCTGCGAGAACTCCCCCAGCCCGGGCACACGGTGCGGCGCCCTCGAGGCGGAGTGGCCCTTGCCCACCTTTGTCACTGCCTAGAAAGGGCGCCCTTGCGCCCTGGGGACGACGGGTCCGCCGGGCTACTGCTCTCGGAAAATGCCGGGCCGCGCGAGTACAGGATTCGACTGGGGCGCGTCTCTGCTGGCCCCAAGCGCTGCCTGCGGCGCCGATCAGCCGTCCTCACTGCTGAGGCCGCGGGTGCTCAGCGCGGTCAGACCCGACGACCCAGTCTGGCTCCGCTCCGCTCGGCGGCGAAGGTGTGCACTCGGCGGTGGCGCAGACGCTCTGGCCGCTCGGGCCCCAGCGCGCAGCCCCAGGGTCGGCCCGCGCTGGAGGCGGCTGCTATGCCAGGAATGTGAGAGTTTCAGGTTCCCCCTAGGGATCAAAGCGAACCACAAATAACCTCTCAGCGCACCGCCCTCCTCCGCCCTCCGCCTCCGACCGCTCCCTCCTCTCGGCCCCCGCCGTCCTCCGGGGAGGCGGCGCTGCGGGCCCGGCGCGGGGCTGGTCCCCGAGCCCCGTCCCCCGTCGCCCTCCGAGACGCGCTGCGCCCCTCCCCGTCCGGCTCCCCGCCGCCTCCCCCTTCCCTCTGTGCTACGCTTTGCCTTCGGAGCTGCTAGAGAGGAGTGAATCCAATTCAGTCCAATACCTTTTCCCAACCCCGTCCCCGCCTTCCTCTCACCACTTTATCCTTTGGGCTGGACAACACTGAGGGATGTACTTCGTGTGTCCATGAGGGATTCTGGGTGTCGCTGCGGGAGAGAACTGGGGAGGGTGGAAGCTCGGGGTGTGTGTGTGTGTGTGTGTGTGTGTGTGTGTGTGTACTGCAAAGTTGTCCACATCTGCCTGGTTCCGACCCTGCCCCCGGCGAAGAGATGACTCTGCTTCCTGCACGGAGCCTCTTCCTAACCCCCACTGCTTTCACCGCCCGCGGCGACCTTTGAATTGCACTTTTATTGTTTACAAACACCTTCGCCAGCTCTTTTAGGACCTGTCTCCACAGGAAGTGTGAATCTGGGTTGGAAAATGTTGTAGTTAATTTGATCCACCAAACCAACGGAACCACCCGCTGCCAGGCGCTCTGTCCAACCCTAACCGAAGAAGGTAGTCATGGGCAGCCCTTTACGCAGAGCGCACGGTGTTGCACCACTCGCTTTTCTCCTAGTCATCCCATTCAGCCTTCCCAGTCATCCTGCCAGGGAATTCTGTTACCGTCCTTGTGTTATAAATGGGGACTCCAAGCCTTGGAGAGCTTAATTAGCTTGCCCCAGGTCACACAGGGAGTAGGTGATAAAGGCAGGTAACCACTGGGCTGCTTAGTTTCTCGTTCTCAAAACCCTTCCATGGCCACCAGAATCCAGACTCCCTAGAAGGGTAGGGCAGGAAGCCCACCTCTCCCCATCTGCCCTTCCTCTGGTCCAGTCTCTTCTTCATTTCCCCCTTCACCCCTGCTGGCCAGCAAACGCCACCCCCACCCCCAACCCCATGTCCACTTCTGTTTCTCCTGCTGTTTCTCCTCTGGGTGGAATCCTCTCCTATGCCTTTAACCATTCCTCCCTCTCCCACCTTTCCACTAAGCTGGTCCATTTGTGCTGATGGAAACCCTTTCTTCAGAAAGCCGGCTCTGACACATCCTCCCCAACTGCCTTTCCCTCTTGCCATAACTGTTTGCCATTCCTGAACCCTAACACACTGGGCCTCACAACACATTAGGTGGGGGGAGGTGTCCGGCTGCTGTCCACAAGGAGAGTCAGGGCTAGCTTCCCTGTTTGTCTGGGTTATCTCCCCTCCCCTCACCAAAGTTTGCAATTCCAAGATGGGGGAGAGGGGGGGACAAGAAAATTTTGTAAGTTCAAAGAGCTATTTACTATCCAGGGACGTTGTTAATATTTAATAAAGCCCTCCCCCAATTTTTGTGTATGTGTGTATGATTTACTTGGAAGCCAAATATTGCACTTGGCTTATCACTGCAAACAGTGGTCAGCGCTGAGACAAATGAGAAGATAAGTCATTTGTGCCAAGCCAAGGTATATTTGGCTATCCAAGGACCACCTCACAAAGAGAAACTATGGCCAGCATGCCACTGTCTCAACAAGATGCACTAGGTAGAAATCTGAGAAATGAACAGGAAGAGAGAAGAGGTCCCCAGGTGGCCTTAACCTGTGGATAGCATTCTTCTTGGAAACATTTGGTGGAGGTGGGAGAGTGGGTGTGGGCTCTAGGGTAGCAAAATCAGGGGGAAGGTCACATGGTACAGTTTCTGTGTCTGGGGCATTCGGGAGACACCTGACAAAACCCTTTGCAAACTCTCTTGAGATGGTTGCAGAAAGGACCCGGCCCAAGGGGGCTAGAGTCAAGGTGGTACATCTTGGAGTGGGAAAGTATACTGCAGACATAAATCAGCCTCATGACTACTCACCCCCATGTCTTAGAGCAACAGACCACAAAGAGAGACCCCAAAACCTGAATGGGAAATTTACACTTATTTTCTCCTCCTGTCTGCAAAGATGGAAGGCAGGACCTACTAGGTAGGGCAGGGCCAGAGGCCTCAGAGGAGCAGCGAAAGCTGGCAGCCACACCTGGCTCTGCAGGGTGACTGGGTGAGAGGGTCACCACAGCTCAGATGTGCCAGAGGCACAGGTGCCACTGGGCTGGCCAGCCTGCTAACACATACATCACCTTTGCTTACAGCAGGGGAAGAGGGGCTTGCCTAGTGATCCAGTGCTTTCTTCCTCCCAGCTTTGTCCCTCTCTGCCCATCTTGCCCCCTTCTGTCTTATCCTCCTACCCCTGCAGGTAATGGCTCTTCCCAGATGACAGTGTGGCTGGCTAGGTCTGGAATTCTGCCCAGGAAAGATGCAGAGAGTGACCCAATTCTCAGGGTAAATCAGGCTTGACGCTTTTGCTCTGGAGAGTGCAGCTCCCAGGGTGTGGCTGCATCATAGGTGTGCACAGGGCTTAGGGAGGGATCTAGGCACCTACACCCTTGCCCCTCCTTAGCCTAGGCCTGGACTGTGTCCCACTGCATCCAACAGGGAAATGAAGGTGAGTTCTGAGTTGGACTTAGCAGCCCCCTCCCATGGAGCGAAGAAGGTAATGGTGTCCTTTTTCCCAAATGTTCAATTGGTGGAGGAGGGGCTCTAGGGCCCAGATGGCAACATCAAAGGAAGACTCTGCTAGTTGTGAAATTCTCCCTTCTAGTCTCTCCTGGATACTTCTTTTGACAGGTTATGGAGAACAAGAAGCCCGCCAGAATCTGGAACAAGTAGCAAATTTGCAGCAAGAACCTGGACATTAGGATGGAAATCCAGTGCTTCAGTTTCAAGAGCCAAGCTGGGTACCCTCTTCTCTTTCTCCTCTGTAAGCCCCTGGGGTCCATTATTCACCCCCTTTTATGCCCACCCTGTCCCAGGTTTCCCCCCAAATCCTCTCTTTTCACCACCACCATCCCCCTTTCACTCCAGGTATCAGGCCCAGAAACTCCACCAGGCACAGGTTGCCTCACAGGGTGGGTGTCTTTGGGGAATTAATTCCTCTGGAGTTGAAGCATTTTTGAAATAATGGTTGGGGTAAGAGAGTGCTGTCCTAAAATATCAAGAAGTTCTGACTTTCCAAACGGCATATACCCCTTAAGTCCCTGACCTTCCTCTGTGCCGTTGGCTTCTCTGTTCCTACAGGCGCAGGGGTGGGATGATTCCTGGAGGCGGTGAGGTCCTACACTGGGGAGGGGGCTGTGAACACTGCTGTCATCTCTTCCCCTGCTTTGGGGTCTGTAACTGCCCAGAACCTCCACGGTCCCTAGGCCTGTATGTGTCCAGGAATAATGTCTGATGGATATTGGTGAATAAATTGATAAACTACAGGAGTGCACCCTTCAGTTTATTCTTCTCTGGGCAGCCATCAGGCTGGGGATCGGGGACTAAGAATTGGCACATTCGAGGCAATGAAGAAGGGAAGATCACTTTGCAATATTAATGTGACTCCAGACACCTGCCTTTTCTGCACAGCTCCCTTGTGCTGAGGGGATCGGTGGACGTGCAATAGCTGCTGGGAGAGACCCTCTATTCTTAGCAAGAGACTACAGGGAAGGTGAGGAGGTCCTGGGTTTACAGAGCTCCTGGTAGAAAAGAACCCAACACAGGTTTCTGAGGCTTCTGGGGCAGGTCCAGTGTGATAGAAGACTGCCCCCTAGTGAGCCTCATCCCCACTGCTGGGTCAGCTCCCAGAGCTCCCAAGGTGGATCTTGGGTCCCTGAGAGGGGTGGTGGAGGGATATTTGGGACCGGGTTTTATCCAGGGGATAAAACCAGGCCCCTCCAAGGATGGACTAATGGCTACAGTTGTGTTTCTAATTTTCCTCCCATTCCAGCCTCTCCTGGACTTTCACATGGTCTTGAAAGAGATGCTTACGATCTTTAACACAAACAACGTTAAATCATTGACATTGGGAAAATACCTTTCATTTTCACACCTGTTCACCCTTTCATGCATCTCTTCTGTCTGTATTGCATGTATTCATTCAAAATTTTTTTTCTCAGTATCATTTGAGCTGGCCCTATGAATCCAAAGGGGTTTTCATCCTTGTGGAGTTTACAAATCACTCGGTGCAGGGGAGAAAGAGCCTAGTACACTGTAGAGCAGAGAGTTCCATCTTGGAGGAGGGGAATATGAGCACAAAGAGGAAATTATAGTAGGCTTCCTGGAGGTGATGCTTCTCAAGCTGAATGCTCAGGCCAAGATAAACTACAAAGTGCCTTCCCCAGGCTGGCATCTGGAGAGCCTGCACTAGAAGCACAGACCCACTCTGGTTCACTGGAACAGAAGCAGGAAGTGTTGAGCTATTAATGGGTGATTGCTGACCTCCAGTCCCCCAACTGTCTCTCTCCAGGAGTATTCATGGGAGGGAGGGATTACTAAGGGACATTTTGTGGTATACATATGCTGAAACATCAAATAATGTACTTTAAATAAGAACAGTTTTTTATGAGTCAATTATACCTCAATAAAAAGATTTAAAAAGTCAAACAGTACTACAATGTAAAAAGCAGTGTCCTGTTCCATTCTCCTCCCCACCAAGTTCCATTCTCAAGAGACAACCACTTTCAAGTCTTTGTATGTTCTGTTACTGATACCTAAATTTCTCAAAAACATCCTTCTTCT